AAGGTCAGGGTCAAGGCATGGTGCAGCCAAAAGCTTCAGTAATTGCTTCAAGCCTCCATATCACCTCACCTCCAAGTCCATGGGCAGCAACAGAGGTGTAAAACCCTTTTTCTTCCCACCACTTCCCCATCCCCAGACACACGGGGTCAGGGATTTTGGGGTACAGATGCTATTGCCAGCATCACTGTCTATGTCCATGCCCAGCTCCACTCCTCACCTGGTGTATTTGATGCCATGCAGTCCAAGAGAGCTTCTCCCCTCTCCAACACACTCTCTGTCAGGCTCCGGTGGTCAGCCACATCCTTCCTGAACTCCTGGCAAGGAAAGGAGAAGAGCAGCACTGCTTGGAAGGGTTTTTTGGAAGAGACACACCTGTGGCAGCTTGCCCAGAGAGCAGGTTCCTGGTGCTCCCAACTCTGGCTTTGCAAACCCAGTGCACCTTGGCCAATTCCAGCAGTGCCTGGCTTCCCACTGCTTGCTGCCTGCAGCACTGGAGATGGGGAAGCAGAGCCAGTGGTGATACCTACCAGGTAGCGATGCAGCGATGCCGTCACACTCTCGGCATCCGGCAAGGGTGGCACCCAACTGTTGGTGACATCCACCACATCGTACAACCAGCGGATCAGCTCTTCCAGCTGGCAGCAAAACATCTACTTAACAAAGCATAACAAAAGGGGTTAGGGATCTAGTTCTGCAACAAAGGTGGGGAAGGGACAGGAACAGGCAAACCAGTGGTGTTTCAGAAAGCACCTGCTCCTTGCTCGTCTCCCCCTGCCTGCTCCCCACAAACATCCCAAAGCACGGGAAACCAAGGATCAATGGAAAAACAAGGAAAAAAACAACTTAAATTCCTGAACATTCCCTTCAAATCACCGTGTGGCAGGAACTGAGGGTCACCATGCAATGTCTGCATAGAGAGGTGCTGGTAGCACCCAGGCTGAAGGAAGGGGTTTGCCTTCACCACCTCTGAGTCCGAGACACCCTCCTCCTCCTTCTCCTCACTGGAGCTGTGCAGTCAATTTGTAGTTGCTTTTCCCCAAGGGTTCGTCTCGTTCAATTAAGTCCTTTCATTTATTTTTAAAGCGTCTCGGTCAGGGATTATTTTTGTAAGATGGTGCATGAAACCCGGGGCCCCTGTTGGCACCAAAACCAGACTCCAAGCCCTGTTCCTGCTCCTCAGGAGTCAGGGGCTTGCTATAAAGCTGAGCTGCTTCCCCCTGGCACTGAAGAAACAGATACAGAAAACATCCTTTTGAATCAGCAGAGTTATTCCCATACAAGAGGAGGGGATGAGTCTGCAGCCATGTGCATGATAATAATTGCTCTCCTGCAAACAGCCCAGCATTGCTTCCAAGTTCATCCCAACACTGGGGTGGGGAAGACAATGGAGGGGAAGGCAGAGAGCAGTGCCTGCTGGCCAGGGAACACAGCACTGGTGGCAGAATGGCCATGAGGCATCACTTGCCCAAAATATAAAAATTCACAAAATAATCAGGAAACTCTTCAGAGTTGCTGCAGCTCCTGCCTCTTCCCTGGTGCAGCAGCACTGCAGGATGGGTGAGCTGGGGGAAGCTGAGTCTCCTCTGAGCCTGGCCCTGTGATACTGAGCCCCAGGAAAAGCAAGACAGGCTCTTGCTCCATCAGAAGGAATTATCTGCTCCGGTGAACTCCCCTGCATCAATTAATACCAGCTGCCAGGCAGCACACGTCATGCAGAAAGGGAAGCCTTAATTAATTGTGCCATAAAGACAGGCATGTTTTATGTGAGACCTTCCCACAATAAACTTTATTTCTGGTCTCAGCCTACCTTAACACACTGGGCAAGGGACTCACTCTGCTGCCTCTTCTTCGGATGCCCCTTGACCCGTGGTTCATCCAGGTACATCCCATCCAGTGTGTCCCTCAGACCAGACAACAGATGAAGCCTCTGCAGAGGATCCCTACGGATCCAGCCACATGATTCTGTGTTTTCCCAGCTGGGCTTCTGAGAGCTGCAGCGTTGCCACAGTCCAGCATGACCACCAATATTCCCTCTTCCATCCCTGCCACTCGCTTCTCCGAAAGGAGCCAACCTGGATGAATGGGTCTGCCTGCTGTTGCTGTGACTTGGAAGGTTACGGTGGTCATGCCCAGGTGTCCTTACAGCTAAGGAAAGATTGGATAAAAACTGAGCCAGCCTTTCCAGCTCCTGCAGTCTTGGAGGCAGGGAAAGAAATTCTTCATCACCCTCCCACTCCTTCCTCAGTGGGAGCACTCCTGTGGTAGGTAAAAACCTACTAGTGCTTTTCACCTGCCCTGTGTAGTTTGGGAAAGGGCTCCCTCTGGTATCCCAGCTTCTCCCCTCTCCAGCAGGGCGCCCAGGTGACCTTGGCCCAGCTGGCTCTGTTGTTACATCCTTAGCCAAACCTCTAGGAGGACGAGAGGAAGTACCCTTTGAGATGGATGCTTTGGCAATAGGCAAAGGTTCGTAGTACGAGCCAGCTCCTGAGCGGCCTCTTTTCCCAGGCCTCGGTGTGGAGAACTTCTCTGCAGAGGCCATGAACCCCCAAAGTCCATTTTTTCCACTTCCCTGACCCTGCCCACCTTGACCATAGATGCTGGTGGACCTCGACGTGGCTCCAGGAGAAACAGAAAAGCTGTCCAAACCTATTCCCGAGTCATGGAGGAAAGGCTCTGGCACCCTGCCCAGCTTGTACCTTGGCTTCAGCGGATAAGCATAATCCAGCAAGTCCTCATACTCTTTGTTGGGGTTCCAGTGGGGAGAGCGACGGTCTGGAGATGGGGGTAAGGAATCTGGTATGGCACAGGCCCAGTAATCAGCTTGGTAGGAGGATATCTCTCGGACGCGCCCCACGGCGGCGTGGTAATCCAGCAGAGGATGGAAGGGCTCACACGCCCGCAGGGCTCTGCCTTCTGCTGCACCCCATGGGCAGCACAGCCCCCGGGCAGTGCTGGGGGCTGCAGGAGAAGGGACACCCGTGCTGGCTTCCAAGCTGCCACATGGCTCCTCGGACAGACCGTTCTCCTCTGAGGACAGAGCGGAGAGGCTCAACACGGAGCGGCTCCGCAGGGCGCTCCCGGGGCTGGGCGGCGTTTGGGGCCGCAGGAGCTCTGGGGTGGATGGAAATGGGGATTGACCTCCCAGACTTTGTCTGTGATAGCCAACATGGGCATCGTGGTGGCTGCCAGCAAGGATGGTCTCCTCTGCAGAGCTGTGCTGGCTGGAAGGGCTGGATGCCGGGTCCCAACGGCCCAATGCCTTCACCTGCTCAAGGACAGCATGGAAAAGGAAAGGGAGAGAGAGACATGCATAAAATGAAGCACAGCATCCAGACAAAAGGCTCTTTTGTGCCAGGATATGGAGATAAAAGCCCAGCCCTGGACCTGCCATGAACTGAGGCTGGAAGTGGAACTCTGTTCCATCTGTGGGACAGCCCACTGCTGCTCAGAGCCCAGAGTGGGGCTTGCTTCTAAGAAAAAGCATCCCAAGGGAAGCTGCACAAGTTGTCTAGCAGCAAGAGGTATTTATTTAAGGAGCACTGTCCTGAGCAAATCTCCAGCTCTGCAGTGGCAATATGGGAATGGAAGCAACAGCTTGGGTGTTAGAGCCCAAATCTTTCCTTTCCTACCACATGTCTTAGCCTGGGCAGGGGTGGGCACACTGGCTGGAGGAGCTGGAAAGCCCTTGCTAGGACAGCCCCAACAAACAAGTTGCCTTGGACCTCCTGTACGTACAACCCTCTCACCTGCTGTTCTTCTGAGGAGAGGAACCAGCAACTAACACGATGAGGCGCATCACCACCGTCAGCAGCTCTACAAATCAGTGTCTCTTCCTCCGAGAGGCTTGGTCTTGCTCTGGGAAAACTGGATGCAGATGCTGAAGACACTTCTGGATGGCAGCTTGAGCCTCCCTGGGTAACACCAGTGGCCAAGTGACTGTCTCTGCTCATTGCCACACTTTCTGTCCCCTGTGGGCAGGGCTTGGCTTCCTCTGCCCCTAAAAGCTGGTGCAGGCTGTCTGCTAGCTCCGGGTAGTCTGTCTCCACCTCTGCACAGTCCCACCTACCATCGCCCTCGGCGTTCCCACTCAGTGAGGCTTCGGAAGGTGATTTTCCCACATCCACAGCCATTAGCACACGACTTCTTCCACAAGCCTTGGGCTCTCTGAAACACACAGCACACAGTAACAGCAACTCGCTGTGCCCCCTCATCTCATTGCCAAGGAAAGACACTGGGTTAGCTAATAATGATAAGCTTAAGCATGATCTGGGTCAGACCCCAAAATTCATAAAGTGGCATCTTGGTGTGTCAAGTGGGACAGAGGAAAGAGCAAACCCTTATATCTCAGCAGTGTTTTCTGGTTTTGAGGACATGGCAAAATCTAACGAAAGCCCTGACCATGCTGAGAACAAACCTGGGCTATACACCTCTCTGGCACAGTGCAACCACCTCCTGAATTAAAGGCCAATCTCACTAACAGTATGTGAACCATGAGGTCACTGGGCCCAAAGTGAGACATCATTAACTGGGACATAAAGCACCTACTAGTGTGGCTGAGCCTTGAAGTCTGTTGGGGAGGAAAGTAGAGGGGTTTTTAAAGATACAGACTCAAAAGCTTGAAATGGAAACCACCCATAAGCAAGAAGTAGATATAAAAAGTCAGAGGGTGAGGTAGGAGGCTGTAAAACTCAAACTTGGCACTTAGATCTGCAGCTTCTGCCTCAATTCATGAAATTAACTCTTTGTGAAAACAATGACTGGAAATATTTGCTCAAACAATGACACTTCCAAATGTTCTGTACAGCCAAGCCCAGTGCATCTTGCCTCAACACCTTCTAACATGAGATATTATACTCAAAGCCTGAGCTCCGGGTGCTCCACACGTGGAGATGTTCCACCACTCCTCCCTCACTCCTCACACTGGGCTTGAGTGAAGAGCTGCTCCAGGACAACCCATGAGCCAAATCAAGGAGACACAATATAGCCTCTTCCAGCAACTCCAGCCCAAACCAGGGTCCTGGCAGTAGGAAAACACCAGCAGTGGTTTTGCTGGTCCTCAGCCAGCTACTGCCAATGGAGAGGTCCAGGCCAGAGAGCATCAGCGGCAAACTCAACCCAGAATGAAATTTTAAAAAAAGGAGGAAAGAAGGAATTCCAAAACAATACATGGAAGTGGGAAACAAGCTGATCCTCCCTCCCTCCGTCAGCTCTTTTGTCACAGGCTTCTGGCAACAGAGGTTTTCCCACGGGCAGAACCCATGAACGGGAACAAAGAGCGGCAGGACAACGCACCGGGTCTCCAGGGGAGACCAAATCCCCAGCAGAGCCACAACCTGTGTCAGGCTCTGCAGCTGCCTGCCCCACTCCTCAGGGCCAGCAGCTATATTCAGCAGGGCAGCAGCTGCAGAGAGGACAAGCATAGCCTGGGCTCTGCTAGCCCTCCACACAGGCCATGTCCCTCAGCCCACACCTGCACTCCCCAACTTGGTTGCTTCAGTTGCTACCAAAGACAACCCTACACACATCATGTTATCTTAAATCAATGGTATTGCTCTCTTTTGCCCTCGGAGAGGTTGTACATCCAAACAAAAAGGCATGGTCATTGCAATAAATGTAATCAATAAACCTACCCCTGCTGTGGGTAGTGATTCAAAAATATGTATACCAAAGAAAAAAAAGCTTAACAAGGCATCAAAGCAGCTTTTAATGTGACTGTGCAGTAATTAACAATCAAATTCAGTTTATTTTTAAGAAGATGCCACATCAAATTCCAAGGGATGTTGAGCATCATTACCTCCATCAGATATAGTGCCTTGAGCCAGGCATCAACCCAGTAAAAATAACTATAAAAAACATATAGAAGCTTGACCTTAACTCTGAAGAGTATGTGTTAAGCAACGTGAAATAAAACTTACAGGTCACCACCTGTAAGCTCTTTTCATAACTGTGTGGATGAGCACAAAGGCTGAATATTCTGAATTTAAGATTATTTGTTATCTTACGGAGGCAGCATGCAGCGACTGACATCTCTGTGATGCCATTGGTCTTTAAAAAAAGAGCAAGCGCTGGTTCACAGGTTCATTAAACCTCCAGAAGCTAAGTGGAAGCTAAAGAGAAACCAGGAAACCTGCCAATACACAGGAGTGAGAGTAAATCTGCTTATTTCAGGATTTGTAAGGGTACTCAAAGGGACACCAGAGATTTCACTGCACTTTCAGGCAGCTGATTTCAATTAACTTCACGGGGAGTTGGTTACCCGACCAAACCTGGACACAAAGGAGACAGGGGGTGGTGTCACATACCCCACAGACAGAACAACCCGGCAAAGAGTCACATTTAAAATCTAAGTGAAAACACTAAAGCCGCTAAGTGCAACTCCCAGCTACACAAGCATCTAGAAAACAAGGTTTCTCACCGTTTTCCAACAAACCCACAAAAACTCAGGTCAGGCAGCCAGTGGTGGTGACGCACCAGGATTGACCCCCACGCTGGGAAGAAGCAAGCCCAGGTCCTCGAGCAGTGCTAAGAGGGATGTACGACCACAGCTTTAGACACGGTGGAGACTTTCCACTGGCCTCAAAACCGCAGGAAAACAGCCAAAAATCCCAGCTACACCCAATCCCTCCATTGTGTCCGTACCGGCGGCACAGAAACAGTACCCACGGTCAGGATTTTAGATAACAGGAGAAGGCAGTGACTGTTTCACTCGTTCCAGCAGGGAAGGTCCGCAGGGATCTCTCCTGAAAAGCAATCCCTGAACTTTTCCACGCACAAAGCCTGGCGGACAAGGAGGGCTCTGTC